ACAGAGAGATGGACTGCTCACCCCCACCGGCTGGGAAGACCTGCCGCTGCGCCACCCGGAAAACCATCACCAGCACGCTGCCGGCCGCCTGCACCACGTGGCACCACCTGGCCGGCACACGCTCGGCGTGCCCTGCTCCGCCCCCCCCCTCCGGCGCAGGTGAGAGCTGTGCTGCTCAGGGGGAGGCATGCGGAGGAGGAGGAGCTGTGGCCTTTAACCCGCCGGCCACATGGAGAGCACAGAGAGACGGACTGCTCACCCCCACCACCCGGGAAGACCTGCTGCTGCCGCCGCTGCTGCCACCTGGAAGACCATTGCTGGCACGCTGCTGGCCGCCTGCTCCTCGTGGCACCACCTGGCTGGCATGTGCTCGGCGCGCCCTGCTCTGCCCCCCCGCTCCAGCGCAGGTGAGAGCTGTGCTGCTCAGGGGGAGAGGTGCGGAGGAGGAGGAGCCTCGGGCTTTAACCTGCCAGCCGCACGGAGACAGACTGCTCACTCCCACCGCCTGGGAAGACCTGCCGCCTCCGCGCCACCCGGAAGACCACCGCCGGCACGCTGCCAGCCCGGCTGCACCACACCTGGCCAGCACGCACCCTGCTCCGCCCCCTCCTCTGGCGCAGGTGAGACCTGTTAATCACAGGTCGGTGTGTGTTTTCAAATGGCAACCTGTCTTTTAATGAAGCCCATGGAGAAGTGATGGGGAATGTGCCTGTGATTATCAGGAAGCTTTCCATGGATCAGTTATCTGTTAGTTGATCAGACACATTTTTTTTAGGATCAGTGGATATTTGAACAGCATTACCTTCGTGTATGAAGTTTATTCTTCAAAGGCTACTTAGTCCGCTGTGTGTTTGATTTACCGTACAATATCTCATTTTTTGTCAGAAGTTTTTTTCTATTATTTACTAGTAGGGCAACGTGGACATTACTGGCTTTTTAAGATTTGTTATTAAATTGTCTGCAGCAGCTCTTGTATACCTGGTGTAGATTGTGGATTCCTTCAGTAATTCCACTACTGACTAAGAAAGTGATGTCAGTGATTGTGAGCAACAAAGCTTCATAAATTCTGACTCTAGTGATGATGAGTTCTATGGGTTCAATGAAAACTAGAAGAGTACTCGAACTTTAAAGTCTCTCTTTTGTTAATGACAGTGATGATGGTTCTTAATGCCACTGTTGACTGCTGTTCACTTTACAAGGTTGAAATACGGTATTACTGTATTCTGTTATAGTTTATTAAATAGTTTAGTAAACCATTTGATTCATAATATTTTTTTCTTGTTTTCCTCCTCTAAAAACTAGGTGCGTCTTATGGTCAGGTGCATCTTATAGACCGAAAAATATGGTAGTTAGCTTTGCCATCACTGCATATTCTGCTAACTTATTTCTACAGTCTTCAATGGTTGGGGAGTCCAGTGATTTCCTTTTGGAAGCTATTGTGATTCTTGCTGCCCTAGTTGTGTACTTAAATAACTCTGACGTGCTTTTTAAAAGGGTCTCTGGCACGATTTGCAAAAGCATGTTCTTGGGACTCATAGGAAACTTAATTTTAAAGATTTTTTGCATGTATAAATTTCCAAAATTATAGCATTATTTCATAAGACCACTGCATATGATAGAAAGTCCCATCTACCCTGTTACATTTCCAACATTTTCCATTATAATTCTTATCTATTTTTCCAGTGTCTTTTGGAGTAATGTACCACCAATAAAACATTTTATTCCAATTTTCTCTTAATGCTCCACTAGAATTGAATTTAAAATCTTTCTTCCAGAGAGCTTCCCCCTGACCTGGTGATATTTCTTCAGCGAGATTGTTTCCAGATTGGCATGTGTTTCTTATCTTGATGGCTTTCTGTACTGTAGTATAACAACAATTAATAAAGTCTTCCCAGTAGATGATCATTCTGCTGTATAATCAACTTTTCAAAAATCGTCAGATCTCTTAAGATGCCTTCTCCTGGTTGTGTTTCTCCCTTCAGTCTTGAAATCAGTTGATGGTAAACAAGCCATTGTATATTTTCCCCTTCATCTTTCAGTTGTTGCTAAGATTTAATTCGTCCTGACCGATCAGTAACTTCTCGACAAGTTATAAGATTATTTCTCCTTGGGAGTTTTCCATATGGTTCAACTGGGAACATGAGATAGGGGAGATTGGAGGACTAATTTTTTTATCATGGAATACCAAATTTTATTAAGCTATTCTTAGCACATGGTTGCTATTTAACTGACGTTTTAGCCCATAAAAGATTATTTATTCTGTCTTCAAGATCAGCCAATTCCAACTTCACTCGCCTATCATTAGCATTAGGAGTTGTAGGACTTTTTATTGCGCCCCTTTTAGAACTTTTTAGTCCTTTTAGAAGAAATCTAATTGCTAGGTTATTCTCGCACGAGCTGTGTTAACTGTATTCCATGTATTTCATTATCTTTGAAGAAATTCCATTTGAGCTGAAAGACAAGCAAGCACACGGCTAAACGAGAACGAAAAGCCCTGCTATGTGCGTGCTTTGTTCGGTTGGGACTATTCTGCCTTCCGGCCGCAGGCGGCCTCCTCGGGCGAACTGGTGCTATTCCTTACCAGCCCGCTCGCTACTGTCTCCAGGGTAGCCATTGGGCGGCCTCTTGGAGAGGCAGAAGCAGGTGGACTCCTTGGAGACTCTTCCCCTCACAAAGCAGAGCGAGCGCGAGGGCGTGCGCCTGCGCGCTCTGCCGCTGGGCCTCGCTTGGGAGACCGGGAGAACTCGGCACGGAGTGCTGGGCCGGGTGAGGAAGAGAGCGTGGGTGAGCGCGAGTGGGACAGGGAGGGAGCGGGGGGCGGACCGAGAGAGACTAGATCGAGCGAAGCCACTTGGGCTCGTTACAGGCGAATTCTTCATCTAGGAAGGCGGCGGCGGCGGCTGCCGCTACTTGGGATGCCTGGTATTTCTATACCTTCACCCTTCTTTGCTTCCCTTTCCAGTCCAGCTTTCCTTTAACGGACAGATCTGCCTTCCTCGCTCAGCGTCCTCTTCCTCCTTAAAAATGGGTTTGGAAGAAGTTTCGGACTTTGAGGCGCGCTGAACGGCTCCTCAAACGGAGAAAACGGAGGCAGCATCTGTCTGCCCATCGTTCAGCAAGCGGTTTTGGGGGTGGGAGTGTGTAACGGTGTGTGCGGGAAGAAGGGAGGCGCAGGGAAACCGGAGGCGTCTGGGATACTTTCTGCTGCTGCGCTCATTTAACTGCCGGTGAACCCGGCGGGTTTACTTCAGAGTAAACGAGCTTGGGATTGGTCTTGCAGCTCGAGGGGCCGGAGAAAGCGAGGTGTACACGCAGCTTGAGTTTGCGTGTGTGCGTGTGCGAGAGAAGGAGAGAGAGAATATATGTGCACAGCGGTACAGCTTGCCATAGCGATGCTTTGGGGTCTCCTGGGAGGCGTCGCGCATCCCGAGTGTGTGGAACTTACTATGCAGGTTGCCGCACGGTTGTGGCAGCTGTCGAGTTAAACGGATTTCCCCAACATTTACTTTATAATATTAGTAATAATACTGTTATTATTTCATCCCATGGTGTGGAAGTGCATCATACAAAGACAAGCATGGGGCTAGGGAATACTTCTAGATTGAAGCAAAGTCGGGCATTTTCTTCTGCTCAGATACACAGATACATGTGGCGCTGTGTGTGTGTGGGTGACTCTTTGTGCCCCGGGGTGTCTGTGTTGAATGTGCATGAAGATGTTTGCATGAAATTTGTTGTTATTGCTGCATGTAGTATCAACTGCATCCAAGTAATGCTCCAATGACTTACATATTGGGCTGGCAACTGTCCATCAGCAATGTGTTGAGAGAGACTCTTTGTTTCCTCTGCCTATTTCTTTCTCTTCTCTTTGGCACAGCTCATATAACTCCAGTCTTTGTTAATCAAGAGTCCAGGAAAGCAAACTGTGGATGGGGTGCGGACATTCTGTGATGCCTTGATATTTGTAATTGAATATTTATTCCAGACTATTTATTTTTAGCCATTAAAATAAAGGACTTGGTATATTGACCTTTGAATCCCGATTAATAAAAAGAGCTTTGATGTCTGCAGAAAGATGCATATATGTTTTATATACTTCTACATGTGTTCTCTTGCATAAATATGCGCCTTCACAAAGAGTACTTTGCTGGGGTGAGATGAGAGAAAGAAATGGCTGATTTGCTTTCCTCTATGTTACTACAGTTTTGCAGAAGAAATTCAAGCAGTGTTGCTCCTGTAATTGCTTCCATGCATTAAAATGAATGTCATAATTGCCCAGCTATTAAAATTTCTTCTGATTTAGAGTAGGTACAAGCAAAGGGGAGGGGAAATTTAGCTGAGGGCAAGGAGATTCCAACTATTCTGCTTCTATTGTTCAGGGAAGAGTGTCTGGTAATTGAGCTTGCTCTGTCCTTTTCTAGCCTGAGGGAGCAGCAGCTGGGAACTGTTGCTGGGCAAAGCAGGACAAAAGCAGCATGTTGACCTTCTTTGCTTGATCTCTCTCTCTCTCTTTCTCTGCATTATAGATTGGTAGATTTACCATCAGGAGGCTTTAAGCTGGAGACAGGGAGAGGACGTCTTCTGATCTTCAGCTTGGCGGCCAGCAGTGCAGGCAGTCAAGGACATGTCTAGTCTTCACTAGGCGCTGTGGCACTTCTTCACTGCTAACTGTGGCCAGTTAATCCACGTGGGAATGTGTCTGCCTAGGGAAAGCATCTCAGTTAAATCTGCTTATAGTTCAGCTGCTGGTGGGGGAAGAACAGGCCCCTAAGCATGCTAAGAAGTATGGAGACACAAAAGAATCTGCTGGACATGTCCTTTTATGCACTGATGTGACCGTGTTGAATTGTAGGCTGTGTTGTTCCTGAATGGCTGGGGCTGGTTTTGAAAGCTGCAGGGAAAGTTTGTGCACTCTTGGGATGAAAAGGCAGCGCTGATGTTCAACAAGACCATGGGTCTTATTGAGAATTAGTACCACACCCCAACCCAGGCCTGCCATCAGCATGCTTTTGTCAGGGAAAACAAAGCAACAGAAGCACCAGCACCCAATTTCTATTGGGGGACAGCAACCAGAAAAGGAAGACAAGAGCTTTAGGTCCAAGAGCTTGCCAGTTCTGAATGGGTCTGTTCCACGGATTAATACCACACAAAGTGCTCCCATTGCAGTCAAAAGGAACTTATTGCAGAGTTTCCAGGGGGAGTCTGATCAGAGATGTGGTCTTGACCCTGACACATCAGCCCATCCCAACAATGTTGCTGCTTGTGCATCATCCAGGACGATGTTGTCTTTTACAACTTCAAGCTTTTCAAGGATTGGAAGTTTCACTGAAAGAACAGACTGCAATAACTCTTCTGGCACAAGTAAAGGAATTTCAGCCACTTCCACTCTGCTAGCAATCCCAGGTAGAAAATATCTTGACGTAGTATTGACAGACTCCAGGTTCTTTTTGGTGTGTATGTGCTTCCTGACTTTCATCCAGTCCTTAATGGTCTCCGGCTATCTAAGCAGTGTTATCACCACCATTGAGAGGAGGTACAGTCTGAAAAGCTCAGAGTCTGGGCTGCTGGTCAGCTGTTTTGATATTGGCAGCCTGATGGTAGTAGTGTTCATCAGTTACTTTGGAGGGAGAGGACGAAGGCCACTGTGGCTTGCTGTTGGTGGTTTTTTTATTGCTCTTGGGGCTGCCATATTTTCTTTACCTCATTTCATTTCTCCACCATATCAGATCCAGGAATTGAACTCCTCTTTGTCTAATGATGGTTTGTGTATGACTGGCAATAACACAGCCAAAGACCATGTGGAGTCACCAGCCTGCATCAAGGATTCAGGTGGAAATGACCACTCGCTCTATGTAGCTTTATTTATTTGTGCCCAAATTCTTATTGGCATGGGCTCCACACCCATCTATACTCTGGGACCAACCTACTTGGATGACAATGTCAAGAAAGAAAACTCCTCACTCTATCTAGGTAAGGTTGCAGCGTATAAAACAGCTGTCTTGGCATTTTGAAGGGGATAATTTTCCATTTAAAAACCAAGCAGATAACAGGGCTGTAGTTAGCATGAGTATGCCAAAACATTGTGTTTTAAATGTGCTTGTGTTTCTGTAATGTACATATATCAGTTAATGTTCCATGGTATCAAAGGCTTCAGCAGCTGTTACCAAATCCTCTGAAAACTTTATTTCATTGGATCATGCCTCATTTTTGATCCATGATGAACTGCTTTAAAGGTTACTGTATCCAGTCCTGCATTCCATTATGAGCATGTAAATCTCATTGATTTTTAAAAGATGCTGTGTATGGGATGTACTAGATGACAGCCACACAGAAAATCACTAAATTATACTGCAGAATGTATTATTAACTGAAAGTAGTAATAGTTCAGCCTAAGCTTAGGTGCTTTTGCCTTCCATCTGTTCTACAAAAAAGGCATAAAAGGCAACAGAGCAGCTGAGAGGGAAGCTGCAGAACATTTGCAAAGGCAAGGGAAGGTCACTTGGCTGCTAGAATTACAGAGACAGAGGCCAAGTCAGTTTTAGTCCGTTGGTGTGTGGTTGCCACAGAGAACCTTTTCGTGTGGTTAGGACTTCATGTTGTTGCACCATCACCGGAATCCAGAGGACCTTATACAAGTGTATTGATGTGTTATCTGACAGACCCATGTGTGAAACATATTCAAATAGTGTGCTATCAGTACCAATCAAAGTGAAATAATTGTCTGAATTGGCTTAAATGTATACAGTTGGGGCCAGTATTAGGTTTTGTACACAACTGATGTGTCAAATGAGTTTTGGAGGAAATTCATCTGCACATCAAACAGAAAAGTTATACAATAAGCTTCCTCTGCAACCCTGTTTCACATCCCATCCTTAAGGACTAGAAGGCTGTGACTGGAGAACCAATCCCAATCCCTTCCTTCTCTAGGGAAAGGTGGAGAAGTGATCAATCAGCTTGATTGGCATTTTTCTAACATTAATTGAAGACTGAATTAAAATTGAGACTCCATAACCAGTACGGAACTTTCTACTACTGGCTTTATTTTGAGCAACACAGTTTAGCTCAATTTAAAAGATAAGGGCAATTTCTCAGAAAATACAGAGTTTCATATCTAGGGAGCACTGGGAAATATAGGCATTTTCCTTTTTTGTGAGTACACGTTTTAAAGTCTGGGTCTGTGGCATATCCAGATACATTTATATACTTTTTATGACTTGGACAGTTCACAATTAAGGATTAGGATTTGTGATTTCTGTCCCTGCCCATATCTACCAGATTGATTTCAGCAAGCTGGAAGGTTGAAAGCTGCTCTGGCAGTTGGATGTGAGAATAAGCCCTGCTGTAAATGGATTAGTCAAGTGAGCAGAGGGCAGGTGAAGCAGCCTATGGCATATGATAGTGTCATTCACGTCACCCTGCTGTTTAGTCACATAGATGTTGTTTTCATTTAGATAACAACCTGCTTTGTTTTCAGGTCAGAAAATTGCTGGCCTGAATGGGTGTGCCATCCCTCCAGCGTACATGCATGTAAGATAGTGGGACTCACTTGGTCAAATTTGGTGTGCAGATTAGAAATCCCCTAAAAAAACCTTACATGGGTGGTGCTGAAGAATTTGGTGCTGAAGTCTTTTGTGTTTCTATAGTGACAAAGGAAGAGAAGAGCCCTGAATTCAAATAGAGTAGCGGTAGAAATCCGAACAATGAATTTTGTAGTTAATATTTATTTATATCACTTTATCTGTACTGCATACCTCCTTTTTTGTTTTGTTTTGAAAACGACCATATATTTTGATACATTATTACACTCTGTTTTACATTATGTTAGAACTCAAACCCCTCAAATGCTTTAAGATCTGTACATTTAAAAAGTAACTCTGCAAAGTCCCTGAGACAACTAAATCTGTCCCCCCCCCCCCCCACGCAAACTTTGCCTTAAGTAGATGTGGGAGCTATTTTATTTTCCAACTTAATCCAGCTCGGGTTAAGTGGCAACGTCATATCCTCTTAAGTGCAGGCATGCAAACTCAGGCTGGACAGCTGTTTTAACATTCCTGGCCGGGTGAGCTGCTCTCAGAAAATACATTTGATGCTTATGTATAATCTCCTAGCTGTCTGCAGCCCCATCCATCTGTCAGGATGGCACTGTGCCAGTATACAAGGTAGTGTCATTTCTATTTCAACTAAGGTGCAAGCAATAATATGTGTAGCAGAATAAGCTTGGGTCATATTAAGTTCTTCTTTTACCTTTGTCCCTCCTTCCCTTTCCTTCTTCTCCGCCCCCATCCCATTCTCTCTTCCCCTGTAGATTTCTTGTAGATGGTAGTTCACCATGAATGAAGCAAGCCTCTTACTGCTTGCTATAGTATTGATATTTATCCACAAATGTACATATTAGTGAGAAAAGGGGACATTCTTGAATGCCAAAAAGGAGGACCAAATAGACACTTGTAAAAGCCAAACAAAAGAAAGTTTCAATGTTTAACACATAAAGGTATCTAAGGACATAAGGGGAATAATAGTATAACGGGGCAAAGCTGTAGATATTTTTAGCAAAGCTGCTATGCTCATAATAAACATTTTGAAATATTGACATATCTGTTCTCCAAGAAAAAAAGAAATGTTTGTGTATAAAAGCACCAATAATACCAGACTATGTGCTTAGTGATGCAAGCTTGGAAGGCAGGCAGTAGGGGCTTAATGTCTAACATTCTACCAGGTGCTGCTCAATTTATAGATCATTATGCTTGTAAATACTGTACTTACTGCAGTTACACATTTAAGATAATGGCTTTTGTTAATTCTAAAAACCAGTGATGGTATTTTTACAAGCTTTCACAACTTGTAGTTCTGGTGTGGTTTTCATTGTGAGAGGTCTTTGCAATTCATTTTATGCTGGAGTGACTATATGTAGACCGAAGAGAAAAAAGGGAAAACATTAAAATAACCTAAAACAAAAATGAGAAACTGAACCTTTGTTGAAAAAGTATTTGGGTGTTGTGTGGGGGGGGGGAACCAAATGTGGGGAAAAACTGAAGAAGAAGCAATGCTTGTTGATTAAGTGTTCTTGAGGGAAGAATTCTATGTCCCCTAGATGTTTTCTGAAGGGCTCTTGGATGGATCAGAGTCCTAGCTCCAAGGATGGAGACATTCCCCTAGCAACCAGAACAGAAACTACTGTGCCATTGGCTCTCTGAGGTTGGGACAGCATTATGCCATTGGCTCTCTGAGGTTGAGAAGGGTAGAAAGTGTTATTTTAGGGAACAGAGTGGGGAAAAGACGGGTGGCTAGGATATGAGGTAACTTCTCTCCCTGTCTGAGAGACTGTCACAGTTGTTGATAGGTGTCGTCAAGTCATCTCCGACTTAATGGCAGCCCTATGAACGAAAAGCCCTCCAAAGTGCCTATCCATGCAAGCCCTGCTCAGCTCTTGTAAATTCAGGTCTATTGCTTCCTTTATGGAATCAATCCATCTCATATTTTGTCTTTCTTTTCCTCTGCCTTTGACCTTCCCTAATATGATTGTCTTCTCCAGGAAGATTTGCCTTCTCGTCATGTGTCCCAAGTATAGCAGCCTCAGTTTTGTCATTTTTGGTTCTAGGGAAAGCTGTGGCTTGATTTGATCTAGGACCCACTTTTTTGACTTTCTGTCAGTCCAGAGTATTTGCAAAGCTCTCCTTCAGCACCATGTTTCAAATGCATCATTTTACTCCTGTCAGCTTTCTTCACTGTCCAGCTTTCACAGCCATATATAGTGATCAGGAATACAATAGTGTGGATGGTGTTGGCCTTGGGCTCCATTCTTATCCTTGCTGTCCTTCCAAGTCTTAGCCTTCTTTGAATTTTTTGGCTGCAGTGTCCATTTGAATTGATGACTGAGCTGAGGTATGTAAAACCTTTCACAGTTTCATTTTTTTCATAGTTAACAGTAAAGTTCTAGAATTCTTCTGTGTTCGAACTGTGGAACGGAGAGAAGACCAGGGCTGTTGACACGATCGCTCCTAAGTGTCCTCTCCCGCTGGGCAGAGCCCCCTCTTCCCCTTGGTATACACCTGAATTGCGGGCGACGAAGCAGGCTGGGAGACGGCTAGAGCGTAGGTGGAGGAGATCACGGGATGAATCCGATCGAACACACTTAAGAGCCTATTATTGGGCCTATGCTGTGGCAGTGAGGGCGGCGAAAAAGAAATTCTTTTCCGTTTCCATTGCCTCCTCAAAATGCCGTCCGGCAGAGCTTTTTCGAGTGGTGCAAGGCCTGGTTCATCCTGGCCCTAAGAAAGATCTGGTTCCACCCTCAAAGGCCCGCTGTGATGACTTTGCCAAGCATTTCAGGGAGAAAATCGCTCAGATTCGTCACGAGCTAGACTCTACTAGTGACTCAGAGGTCTCTGGGGAGATACCAATGCCGCTGTCTGCTCCAAAATTAATGGATGAATTTCAGTTATTGCGGCCTGATGATGTGGACAAGGTGCTTGGACGAATACGTCCCACCACTTGCCTATTGGACCCTTGCCCTCTTGGTTAATAAATAATGCCAAGCACGGGATTGGGATCTGGATCTTGGAAGTGGTTAACACTTCTCTGAGGGAGGGTCGGGTATTTGCCCCTTTAAAGGAGGCGGTAGTCCGACTGGTCCTGAAGAAAGCGTCACTGGATCCAGAGATGGCCACTAATTATAGACCAGTGGCCAACATCCTGTTTCTGGGCAAGGTGTTGGAGCGGGTGGTGGCGGGACAACTCCAAGCACTCTTGGATGAAACTGATTATCTGGACCCATTTCAGTCCAGCTTCAGACCCGGGTACGGTACTGAATCTGCCTTGGTCACCCTGTACGATGACCTGTGCAGGGGGAAGGACAGGGGGAGTGCATCCCTGTTGGTTCTTCTGGACCTCTCAGCGGCTTTCGATACCATCGACCATGGTATCCTTCTGGATAGGCTAGCGGGATTGCGGGTTGGAGGCACTGCTTTGCA